GTACAGGGTCCCAAGGCTTTGGGCCATCCTCTGCTGCCCTCCTTGGCCACAAGCAGGGAGTTGGAAGGGAAGTGGAGCAGCCGGGACACAAAACAGTGCACATATTGGATCCCGGTGCATGCAAAGTGAACACTTTCAGCCACTAGACTACCATGCCGGGCCCAAGGAGTAAATACTTGTAAAAACAAAGCAGTTCATAGAATCAGAAAATTAACCAGAAGTATAAATGCTTTCTTTACATCTTCGCTTTCACATCTGAATAGTCAGAGTCAGAATTTTTTTTTTTATTAAGAACTCACTAGGTGTTTGAATATGGCATTGGAACCAAAATCCTTTCTACCTGTCAAGCACCTGTAGTACACATTAATGTCAGAGATGCCTTTATTATACAGTACATCCATCATTCCCTGTTCATGTGTGATCACCTGAAAGGTGTCAGGCATTCTTTATTTTAAGCACTTTAGTATCCCTGACTTACCATATCTCCCCTTCTCTTTTTTTTTTTCCCCCTCTCCTCATTTCTCTTTCCCAAAACATAAACTGCCTACCTAGATTTGTTCATTGCTTGCCACCACCCATGGAAAATGTCAGTTCCACGAAGAGAGAGATCTGGGTCCCTTGCTGTATCATTCCCTGATGCTTGGAAAAGTGGCACGTGCTCGATCAGAATTCAGTAGGTGTGCCCTGAGCAGACTTCACAGTGCCCAGTGAAAGCTGAGATGATCTTCATTTTATACTTGTAATTCAAGCTTTGGAGAAGTTAGAAAATTGACTCAGGATATCCAGCTAGTCAAGGACAGGGCCAAGATCCAAATTCAGCTCACCCTGGTTTCTGGAACCTCTGTCACCTAGTTGTCCATCTGTGGTCTCCTGTTGTAGATGAACCTCAACAGTGTCCGCATCTCATTTGAAACCCCCTGCTCTATGAAACAGTCTACTGGTGAGTAGTGTAGTTAGTGGAAAGATGACCATTCTGACTGTGGTTCAACTCATTGCAAAGTCAGGAACTGGATAACAGCAGAGGGTTAGGGTGGGGCAAGCAAGGAGGACAACTCAGGAAGCTAAGCACCAGGGCCAAGTAAATACTACCACCCACCAGCCATTTTTAAGGCATTGAAAGATAAATATTTATAAGAGCTTTTAAACTCTCTCCCCCAGAAAGTCTTCCATGAGTCTTGAAAACCTGACCCTGTAGCCCCTTTTTTACTTTCTTGGCAAACCATTGCTCAGGCTAAGGTTATACAAACTCCTCCACGGAATGAATGGAAATGGTTGAGTCAGTTCTCTGGTTTGCTTTTGTGTGATGTGTTTCTGGTAAGAGTGATTCTTCCATTGTTATTCTAGTCTGTGATATGGCCTGTTGACACAGTAATCATCTACTTCATAGAAGCAGAAAAGGTATAACAAAAGACTAGTAAGCTGTGTGGTATAAAGTATCGGAATTGTCAGCTCAAGACCTTAAGGGATCTCAAATGATCAATCTTGGATACATGGCAAATCGGAATGAATTGGCGTGATGTCATCTTGATCTGATGTAATTCTGGAGTGAGATACTACACAGGAGATAAATTGTAAACCATTAAAGTCTAGCTTAGAATCGAAAGTTTGTATTTTGCCATCTTTTTTTTTAAATTCATTTTTCTTTTCCCATTTTGAACAAAATCTTGCTTAACTTTTTGGACCGCAATATTCAGAGCATATTCATTCTGGGATGTGTATGTGCATGTAAGTGTGCATAATTAGAAGTTGTTGTTGTTCCAAGACCTTGACCAAGGTCCTATGAAAGGTGAACTTCTAGTCTAACCTGCGTGTGCTCTGCTTGCTATGTCCCGAGTTCTTATGGCTTTTAAGGTCATTTTCTGGCATCTCTCTCGCTGTGCATTGCCAGAGCATTTTCGAAAGTTGTCCTATGGCCTTGCTTCTAACAGAGGGATTCTCAGCATCTCTTCTGTGCCCTCCTCCAGTGTTCACTTGTGTTTTGAATCCGAGTTGCTTCAAAAGTAACCAGCTTTATGAAAATGACATGTCCATTAGTAGAGAGGTGAGAATTTAATGAATGAAATCAAACAAAATATTCCTAGGTGATTATAAAACCGGTTCTCTTGGCTGTACTTGAAAATCAATCCTATTTGTACACCACTTATACAGGATATTTCTATGATGAGTTATTTACTTCCTGGTTCCTAACAATGGCATAGATCATCGTGATCAATTTCCTCACGTCCCACTTCCCTATAGGTATAAAAATATTTAATTCTTTTTCCAAATCTGAGTCTGCTTTGGGAATACATTTACTTCATGTAGACTCATTTTTTTTGTTGAGTGATTTGTTTTATATGGAGTGAAATCCCATGTTTTGAAATTACTTTATACCACATAATCTCATTTATTTGAATACAGAGAGACAAATACAGTATGAGTCACCAAAAGTAAAATTGTAGAGTCAGCCAAAGGCATAAATTTTGCTCTCCTGGGTCTCTGGTGTGCCTATCATTTTTTTTTCCTTATTTAGTGTTGTCGTGATAATGAGTAAGGGTCAAGGATTAGAAAGCCCATGAATGAATAAGTAAGAACAATATGTAATTAAGAAAGCATCGTGTGTGTGTGTGTGTGTGTGTGTGTGTGTGTGTGTGTGTACCTTCTCTAACGATGTGGTGCCAGAATTAAAGATGACTCTTAAAATATTCAAATAAATATTCCTTCTGCTTGGTTGCATGTGCCCTCCTTCTAAAGCTACTGACCATAACTGACCTGTTGGCCACGGTACTCCAAACATGAAGGCCTGAGGTTTCATACTGATCAGGATCTTTGCTCCCTTCCCCCCTTTTTTTCCCCAGCTTTTCTATTCACTGTTAGTTAAACCCATGTTCATGAGTCATGGTTACTGTGCTCAGTAGTCAGGGATTGTGAAACAAAGTGATTTCTCTGCCGTCAGAAAACTGTGTAAGATTCATACTAACTCCTGCTGGCTTCTCCAGCCACATATCCCTCTGCCCCATGAGTTCTCAGGGCGCACACACACACACACACACACACACACACACACACACACCCCAGAAGGAAAGATCAAGAAAACCATGTGGATCCCCTTGCATCTTTTGCTCCCAAATGAGGTCATAGACCCGGGGAATCGATGCAAAGATTGTGCTCCTTTCCCCATAAAACAAACCCAGGCAAAATTGGTGACTGTTCGGTAGTGACACGGGTTGCCTTGCGATTTAAATCCTATCTCCCTCCATCCCTGGAGATCTGTAAGAACCAGGGGATTTGGGCGGGGGGGGGGGGTCGGGTGATACTGTGGACTTTTTCTGTTCCTAAAATCTGGGATTCTTGATCCCCTCCAACCATCTCAGAGCAAACTGTGAGGTCCAGGAAGGATGTATTTACCTCCAGTCGCCTCCGTATGAGGCTTCCTAGTGTACAAGAAAGAGAGAATTCATTTTCTATGTTTTCTTGACATGCCATTCAGCACCTCACTGCAGGATAATTCTGCATAAGATGATATCCTCAGGAAATACATATTTCCCTGGCATAGGACTACTGTCTTTCAGTAGAATGACAATGTACGTGACCAGTTAACCAGGCTTGTTCATGCAGAAGAGTTGCTTCTCTTTCCTAACTCACTTCTTAGCTCCCACTCAGCTTCTATAGCCCCCCCCCCACACACACACACACACTTTCAGTGGAAGGAACGAGAGAGAAGAACACGGAATTTCATCCCAAGCTTTTTCACTGCTATGAAACAATTGGAGATATATTCTGATTAGCTATACCAGTCCAAGATGTTTCACATTTTTTTTTTATGAACTTGACTGGTTGATCTTCCCTTTTTATCATCGATGGCTCTGCACAAAAACCCAGCCAAGTGAAGTTGTTTGTTCCCGTGAAACAAGTGGTGTAAACAGATGGGAGCCTATACATGTGAGTGCACAACAAATCCTTTTTTCTATGCAATGTAAGAAATGTGGGCTCAAAGTTTGATAGACCTTTGGGGGAGGTGCGGGAGAACTGGCAATCCATTATCAATGTAGCCTGCTTAAATTGTGTTGTTGGATTCAGTCTCTACTCCTTGTTTCTGCCACACCTGTGCCAGCCCCCATCCAGTTCGCAAACAGTTATTATTTTGGTTTTCAGTGGGCATTGCCCAACTGTACCTCCCCTTTCCCACCGTAGTTATAAACCATCGTTTTAAGCCTACCGAACTGGTCCCTGCCGATTCTCACTTATTATTAGAAGATCGACATATAGACATCCCTTTTGTGTGTCAGGCTACTTGATGATGTAGCTTTCTTTAAATGCCAATAACATGTACCCCCTCAAAAGTGACCGAGAGTCTGATGGGCACATGCAAGTGTAAAAAAATGTTCTTACATCTTTTCTTACTTCACCCTCTGGAATGTTCTTTGCCAAACCCAGAACCCACACAGATCTCTTGAATTCTGGGTTTCCAACCTCCCTTGACCTTTGAAGTTTAAGTTCCTGTGTTCTTGGCAGAAGAAGATGTATTGTTTAGAGAGAACGGGATTTGAGAGGCATGTAATAAAGACTTGTAACACTTCTTGGACCTCAGATATGTCTTACAAAACAAAATGTTTATGAGCTAAGTGTAAATGATTCAGCCACATACGGATCACATTTCCCCCTAAAATGCAAACGGATTTAAAAATTAGCAGGGAAAAAAAAAAAAAAGAAAGAAGAGGCCTGGTAAAAATGTGCTTTGAATTGTACCAAACCCAGAGTGTTTGAAAAGTAGTTTAAGAAGCTTCGCAAATTCAAACTGTACCGACTCTTCCCTTTGTGTGTTTCTTTTATTCCTTCAGCATCTCAATTGGGATTCCAGCGAGGAGAATCAGGAGAGAAAGGTCTCTTTTTTCAAAGCAAGCTGTTGCCACCTGCATGTGTAGTTAGAGTGAGAAGTTAGGATTTGGCTTTGGGGAGTTTCCCTTTGTGACTGCTCCTTCACGTCGCTCACGTGGCGATCTGTACTGGTGTTTTCTCAGGTTCGTGCCTTCAGTCCCATCTCCTCACCACCACATCAGTCCCCGGCGAGTCCCAGCTCCCTCATCCATCCTGCAGAGAGCGCCGCCACCCCATCCCCAGCAGCTCTCCGGTGCGCACCTGAAGTCCTTTCAACCAGAAACAAACTCTTCCTTTCAACCAAATGGCATCCACGTGCATGGTAAGTGAGGTGTCCCCACGGCTCCTGGAGTCCAGACCAGGGCTGTTGTGTTGTTGCTTGCTGTCCATGTCTTAGTTACCAGCTGTGGATTTCAGATGTTCTGTTACGTATCCGACTTGAGCTTTTACAATTCTCCTCTAAAATTTCACACTTAAGAGGCATGAAATCCAATCATATTTTCCTGGCATTAACCTCCCCCGGGGTTTGGTATGATTTGTGACACCCAAACTGGTCAGCCCAAGGCAAGAATCACTTCACAGACCCAGCGCTCTCATACCCCATAGACAGGCCCTAGCAACAGTGTCTCTTCTTCCTAAACAATAAACATCCCTTGGAAAAGGAAGTCATGGGAGAGTCCTTGTGTCTCTGCAAGCCTTGCCTCTCCTAATTCTTGCTCCCATTCCCGTATGCCAGTGGCTCTGTGTCCTTCAAGGCCCAGAGGAAAGGAACCCCTCCTTCCTGGAGTCTAGCCTGATGAACCTCTTCCCCCTACCTCACACCCAAACCACCAGGGTGCTCTCTCCTGGATTTCAACTCTGATCAGATAGCACCTGCCTCTACATCTCTGCCAGTACTTCCATTCCCTCGGCCTTGTGTGCACTTCGCTGTAGATAGAACACCCGCGTGCTGGTCAGTGTAGTCTTTCTATCCTCACAGTAACTTGGATCCACCATCTCTTGGAGACCACAATCCTTCACACGTAGTAGACACATTCATGAGGAGCAGGAAGAATTAAAGAAATTTCAGCAATTCTCAGCATGGAGACATCTTGTGTTTTACCAGAAGCATCATGGAGAACCGAAGCTGACTGAGTTTCTTTTATCTAATTACATTTTGCCAGATTCAGGCACATCCTGGATAAATTTCCATAGAAACATGAGCTGCCAAATATGCCAACTTTCATCATCTTTTACTTCCTGGAGCAGTGAAACATTCTATTAGCAGAAGAGACACTCTCCATGCAATACGGGCTTTTCAACTTCTGAAAACCATGAGTGTCTTCCATTCGCTGCTTACTTATTGCCGACCTAGAAGTTACTTAGTCTTAGGAGATGGTGTCCCCTAACACATCTAAATCAATATTTAAACTGAAATGAATGTCTATGAGAAATTACAAAAGTGTTATGATGCTAAACTTGAGAAGACTATTACAAAATAGGGGCCTGAACCTGGCACTATAGCCTGGGGGCTAAATTCTCACCTTGCATGCACCAGGATCTCATATGGGGACCAGTTCTAATCCAAGCAGCCACACTTCCCATCCAGCTCCCTGCTTGCGACCTGGGAAAGCAGTCAAGGACAGCGCAAAGCCTTGGGACCCTGCACCAGCGTGGGAGACCTGGAAGAGGTTCCCAGCTCCTGGTTTTGGATTGGCTTACCTCCAACCATTCGGCCAGTTAGGGAGTGAATCAGTGGATGAAAGACTGTTCTCTCTGCTTCTCCTTCTTTCACTTTCCAATATAATTAAATAAATCTGGAAAAAAAGTAGGGACCTAAGCAGCAAGTAGGAGGTAATAGAAGGAGGGTGAGCCATTGCTTCTGGATTCTAGTTCCATCCAGCTCCTCCTCGCTCTGCTTTCCTACTAATAGCCACATGAAATGCTTGCTCCCCTCCCCACCACACAAAGCATAGACCTCCACCATTGTTCAGGCCTCTAGACATTCTTACCTTGCTTTGTCTGTAACCTTTTTTTTGCAAGCTTTCATTATGTTCATTCAACCAAAAAATATTTCTAGAGTACCAGATACATAAAACAAAGCAACAAGTGTGTATAGAAATGAAACAGAGTTTTTTTCCTTGTAAAGGAAGCTCCCAGGCTGGTGTAAGAGCTTGTCCAATATGTGGAAGACCCAAACTGTCCTTTGGGGTCATCTGTGCCCATCACTCAGGCAGGGCAACATGGAATACAGAATAAGCCACTAACTATGACACCTGATTTTTGAGGGTTTTTTTTTTGTAACTTTACATTTTAACATTGCTGAAATCTGGAAATATCTCACAGAGACACTGTATAATTGACAGTGTTTTTTCATTCTGGTGCTTATGTAGAATAACAGAGTGTTTCACAGTCAACGGTGTCATAGTTCAGTGAAGTGGAATTATAGCATGCGTTGATTTCAACTAGAAAATACATTTCTAAAAATTTAAAAATTAACCTATGTGCAGAAAAAAAAGTGAGATGGAAATTCTTTAAAGGGTGAGCAGCTTTTACATTGAAGTGATGGGATAATGGGTGATTCGTTCTGCTTTCGACTTTCCTAAAAATTTTTTTAATGGAGTGTTTGCTTTAGATCCATTGGCATGCTAATATCACTCCTATCCGAATTGTATGGCTCAACACAAATGATTTAGTCTTGGTTCAGGTTTGTGAAGTAGGGAGAGTCTCTTCTAGGAGAATTCCATAGGAGAAGCACCTGGCGAAAGAGTAGGCGCTGACTTAATTTGTCACCTTCCATGCCCTTCTTTTATTGTTTTCTATGGATTAGAGTAGTGCTTCTAGCTCTAGGGCAAGCATAATGCTTGGTGCAAAGTAGGCATTTGATAACTGGTACTGAGTTAGTGCTTGGCACTCTGCTTCAACAAGTGGACAATGAAATGAGGGGGCTCTGAAAATGGAATCTACCCTACCGATGTACCCTGCGTCTTGGCCAAATACTCTTTTGTTCCAGATAAATACTTGCGACTCAACTTGAAGTTGTTGGGTTTGTTTTTTAACTTTTAGATTTAATGACTCAAGCTTCCCTTTACCATTGAGAATGGTCTAGCTTCAGCCCTGAAAAGAGGTTGAGGAGATGGCTAGGAAAATTGAGAAATTTTGACTTCCTCTGGGTACGTGGGCCAGAGTCTACTGGGATGACCTTGTTAAGGGATTGCCCATGTGTTAGCTTCTTTATGTCTGCTAGTAGCTAAGGGGTAGAAAACCCAAATGTGGCTTTGCTCCCTCCTGTAAACATGGGTCTGAAAGTGTTACTCTGAAACTTTTTGAACATCAGTTACTCCTTAGAATAAGGACAACATTTATCTACTATTTTTCAACTCACCGTTAGAGCACTAGGAGCAAGAAGAGACCTTCTTCATGAGCTTGTTGGAGGAGTTTGTTGCATGGAATTACACAGCATCCTGCATCCTGGTACCAGGGTGCTCCATCTCCTATTAGAATTTAATTGAAAAAAAAAAGATTTATTTATTTTTCCTGGAAAGGCAGTTTCACAAAAAGAAAGAGATGAAGAAACATCTCCCATCTGCTGCTTCACTCCCTCAACATCAAGATCTGAGTCTATCTGTAGCCAGGAGCCAGGTGCTTCTTCTGGGTCTCCCACGCAGGTGCAGGGTCCCAAGGCTTTGGGCTGTCCTCTACTGCCTTCCCAGGCCACAAACAGAAAGCTGGAAGGGAAGTGGAGCAGCTGAGATAAAAACTGGTCCCTAAGGGGACCTCAGCACATGCAAGGCATAGACTTTAGCCACTAGGCTTTTGTACTGGGCCCTAGAATTTGGCTTTAATAGCCCAAAAGTACTCAGGGTTTCTAACATGGTAAGTGCACTGAGTTAGTGTTGTCTTTTTCAAGAATTCCGTAGCTTTCATGAATGTCTTCACTCCAGTCTCCTTGCTCCCCAAAGTAAGGAGAGATTAGGGAGAAATTACATCACTGTATGTTTATAGAGTTGAATTCTGAGACATTGAAGAATGCTTGAGCACAGCTGCTTTTTCCGAGCAGTAAATAACCACTTCAGTAAGAGATCCACATTTCTAAACTCAGTTCTTCATTAGCAAGTTTCCAAAATAACTGTTTGTATTTTTCTCTAGAGAAATGTAAATACCTGTGTGTACTTGCTGTTGTATCAGGCCGTCGAAATGAGAACTGAAAGGCCTTTGCTTTCAAAAATAAAGAAGCAAATGAGGTCTGTTCAGCTTGTTAACCAATTGACCAATTGACCATTTCACTCAGAGCCAGTGGGTAACAGGAGGACGGTGTTGTAGTAATGCGGAATTGTGCTCATTCATTCACAACTTTTCCTAGACAAGGAGATCTGGTATAGCAAGAAAAATGAAGGAATGCTCACCCAAGCTGCTACTTGGGTACCAATCCTTTTTGCCCTACTTTAGAATAGCTTCAAGTGAGAACAACCCCAGGAGCGCCCTCCCCAGACAGGTGCATGCTTAGCCTGGCATGGTCCTCAGGTAATGGTATGTCACACTCCCTCCTGAGGGCAAATTGACGTTTCCTATGAACATCTTTTGGGATGTTTTAGTATCTACCCAAGAGCAGATAACCACAAAACTAGTTGACCTAGCTGCCCCACCTCCCTCTTGGATATTGTTTAATCCTGTAGCAAAAATAATTCTAATCAATTTTGAGTGATCTATCCCAATCCTAGTTTCCAGAGACCCTGTTGTTTTTGTTTTAGTTTTGCGCAAAGCATGAGACTGTGCAGGGTTTACTTATGGCGTTAGAGCAGCAGCACTAAGGTTTCCTCTTGTTGTGTATCAAGAAGTCCCAGGAAGCAGTGCTGAACACCCTGCTGCTTTGCTGACTTCAACAGGGAACTCTGCTCTTGGTCCTGAAGGGATGCTAGTTTTCTCCACTTCTTGTCCCTCATAGGGAGAGAAGAAGATGAAGAATGAAGAACAGGGTACCCCTGTCTTAGTCACACACAGCTACCCATAGATCCAAGGGATTCTGACACGATAGATGTCGTAATGCCTTGCCACGCTTAACGAAACAGAAGTTCTGATAAGAATGCTTGCTGGACTACCTACGCTACAGGGTCTGCCAGACCATCTTGGACTAGGTTATCTGTCTCTAAAATGCAACTAGGATTCTGTAACTCTCAGGTTCATTTCTTGGAAATCAGCGGTTGAGCGCAGTCGTTTCTTTCTCAATGTCTGTCCCAGTTTTCCACCCCTCTCCTTCACTCTGTTGGTTTGGCTGCACTTTCTCTGCCTTGTTCTCATTTTTTTACCCCTTGGCCTTTCCGGTTGCCAACACCCAGATTCCCA